TTTAAAAAGGTTTAAAAATAAAACAACGGCTGCCAGCTTCCTGCGGCACTTTAACCTGACAGCAGCCTGCAAAACGCTAAAAGATGGCTCCAAAATGACTGGAAATAAATAATATGTCCATTAAAATGTCTTCAAACACTTGTTTAACCACCATTAGAGGGGCACAATAAGGAGATTTTAGCCTTCCAAGGAAAACACGAAGGAAGGAAGAAAGAACGTAGACAAAGAGCAGGACGCCTGTATGGTGGCCCTGAAGGGCAAACCAGTGAAACCACAACAACAAATCTTTAAACACGGCTACAAAGCCCACCCAAAAAAACAAACAAACAAAAAAATACAACAACATATTCAAAAAAGAAACATTTTAAGAAACACAATGACATTAACCAACTGGAAGAGGTAGATATTAGTGTGAAACCTGAGACCTCTCTGATTGGACAATGGCACCATTTTGGTTTTTAAACCAGAAGTCATTCTGCTTACGACTTACCTTATGCTCGTTTATTCAACATTAGAACAGAAAAGACAGAAAGATTCCCAGTTTAAAAGCCAAACGGTGCCGTCGTCCAATCAGAGAGTTCTCAGGTTTCCCACTCATATGTATCTATCTATTCCGGTTGGTTAATATCATTGTTTTACTGAATATATTATGATTTTTATTTTAGTTTAGTTATGCTTAAACACTTTTTGATATGGTTTGTACTTCAGGGCCACCGTACTTCTGAGAAAATGTTTGTTGGACAACTAAAGAAAATACAGCTGTCAGCACTGAGGCACGGAGGTGGAAGCGTCATGGTTATATTATGTGACGTGTGGAGCTACTGAAACTCTGAAATTAGTCAAATTCACGGTTGGTTCTGGTTCTGTTGGCATGCAGCATTCTCTAACTTTAACTTTTAGTTCTTATCTCGTATCAAACCACATTCCTCTCCAAAGAGAAGTGAAAGACGACGTGGATGCGACAACATTCCTTCAGAGGAGCTGAATGTTTAATGATCCGTCTAACCTACAGGTCAGTCTGTGAAGCTATGCTGAAGGTCAAGCAGAGCTGAAAAAACGACACTTAATTTCCACCATTTGTTTTCTGCAGGGTTTAGGATCGGCTTGAAAGCAGCTGCTCTCAGACACGAGGGTCAAAGCAAAGGGAGTGAAACGTTCAACCTCTTTATCTAAATCCTCTTCCCAGCTCTACATTTTTGTCGGAGCGTCCCGTCTCCTCCCTCTCAGCTCCTGATGGCTCAGTCATGCGGGGAGGCTTTTGTTTTCGACCTGCAGCTGGGAGCACAGAGCAGCAGGAGCTAGCCGGGTCATTCATCTTCCACATCCTGCAGAGAAGCTGTTATTACTCCGTTTCCTCCCCCTGGATTCTAGCAGCATTCCTAAGAAAATCCCATACAGGTTTAGACCCGCCTTCTGGAGTTAAGAAGCTCCTGGTTTTTCCTTCCAATAAATCATGAACTCTGCTTCGGGTTTCTGGCTCCAAGAAAATCTTCGTCGAAAGTTTTAAGATGAAGCTTTTATGTCCAGAAAAGCACAAAGACTTGAGATGCACGGCTTTGGAGATCTGGGCCGATATCGATAACAGATATTTATGCTTTCTGCCTCACTTATACAGCAAACATCCTGAGCATCATCATCATCAGTGTCACATGACCTCACTTGACCGACGGGCTCCCCTCCAGAACCAAACATCGATTGTAAACTTGGCCCTGTTAGTTCATGGAGTGGAAGCTTTAATCAGAGCCACTCTGAGCTGCAGCAGAACCTCTGTTGGACC